ATCAGCACGATAATCATTACAGCGAAACGAAAAATGTTTACTTCAGTGTTAAAATGCCGTTGGAGTAAAAATTTGTGTAAAATTTTTTTAGTTTCGCCCACAATGCAAAAAAGCTTGAAATCTATGCACCAAGAAAACAAAAGAAATTGTGGCCTTGTTTTGCGCGAAAATTTCATCGCCTTATCGACGCTACCGCCTACATAAAAATAAATGAAAAATCAATTTATTTAAGGGTGAAAAAGTTTACTTATCAATTACAAGTGTATGCTTTGTTTCATTTCGCTTGCATGCTGGAAGCGTCTACGTCTTGTCTGTTTTTGTAGTTTACTAGTTGATTGCGCTTGAGGTAAGTAAACAGAGAGCCAGGACAGGAAGTCGCACACCGGCTGCTCCGTAACTGGGGCCAACAATAATTTGCATATAACATCAACAGTGACTTGTCAATCAAAGAGCAACGCAAACAAACTGTTGGGACTTTTAATCACATACGCGTGCCTCGGTTTCCTATATTTTAAAATTGATTTTTGAATATGTTCCAACAATGACAATGCTCCGAAATTTTAACACTATCTAGCCAAGACTGTCTGGGTAAGAAAAGGCAAAAAAAAAAAAAAATTCACGAAAAGTGCCCACGAACCTGCATCTCTACCTTAAATCAGAATAAACATTACACCTGCAACCCAATCTAAATACAGTATATTGTCATTATACACAGTTTAAACAAAACAGGCACAGTCATCTCTGATGTAATGGTATGGACTTGTTCATGATTTTTATGACCTAATATGGTTGTCAGTCAGCCATATTCGGTTAGATCACAAAACCAAATAAGGTATATGAATATATCAATGATACACTGTCTGTGGTGAACATAATAGACAGGGCAATGTTCAAAAAACAAATATGAATACAGTGAAAAACAATCTCTTTCAGTGCTAAATACCAAATCAGGTCATAGAAAATATTAGCATGGATGTGTTATGTATTGTCATCATACATGTATCAAGTTACCGGCTGTGGACATGTTCAAGTATTGTGATTTAATAGACAAATTTTACTTATAATATAGCGCAACATAGCCATAAATAATCAGATAAAAAAACAAATTACTTGAATATGCATATAAATGAAGTGATATATTATCTTATAACAATGCTTGACAGGATGCATGTCAAACTGAACCTAAATTTATAGACTTATTTTCAGGAATTGTTTGAACAAAAATTTTTGAAATTGCATAATTTGAAACATAATTCAAGGTATATTAATATTTATTCAATGGCAATGTTAGCATAGATCTCATAATACAAATTGTAAATTATAGAAACATTTTCGAAATTTCAATGCCTGGCATATCAATATTCAATAGTTTTTTATAATGAGTATCATTATACATATTATGGCGTATATATAATTTATTCATTTATGGTATTAACTAAAGTGACAATTATATCACCATAGTAATCACAGAGAATATGACCAAAGCATACCAAATATCTTGTACTATTGCACAGCAACAAAATATAATAATTTGTTTACATAGAGTAACATTCATCAGTCGAGTGATTCTCTAAGCTGAACAGACAGAATAGCTAGTTTCTAAAAACTGAGCAATCTGAAGCACCCAGCCTGCATATAATAACATTCATCAGTCGAGTGATTCACCAAGCTGAACAGACAGAATAGCTAGTTTCTAAAAACTGAACAATCTGAAGCACCCAGCCTGCATATAATAACATTCATCAGTCGAGTGATTCTCCATGCTGAACAGACAGAATAGCTAGTTTCTAAAAACTGAGCAATCTGAAGCACCCAGCCTGCATATAATAACATTCATCAGTCGAGTGATTCACCAAGCTGAACAGACAGAATAGCTAGTTTCTAAAAACTGAGCAATCTGAAGCACCCAGCCTGCATATAATAACATTCATCAGTCGAGTGATTCTCCATGCTGAACGGACAGAATAGCTAGTTTCTAAAAACTGAGCAACCTGAAGCACCCAGCCTGCATATAGAAGAATAATGTAGAGCTGATTTTTTTCACTACCACAATAACAATTGTTGGATCAAACTATTTTTGCCATTTTAATGTAAAATAAAACTAAATGACACAACTAAGATTTTAATATGCATACATGTATTTGATATGCATTTATTTACAAGAAACGCAGGAGAAAAGTTCATTGACAGGCTCTGATAAAGCAAGTTTCAGCAATCCCATTTGCTATAAAAAAGAAACTATGATTTTTTATAGGCACTGACAGGAACAGTACACAGAGACAGACAGCTTACATGTATGTCCACCACGACTGGACGCTATTCTTCCATTCAGAATGTTGTTAAACTGGACAGGCTTTATCTTTCACCTCTGAATGAGTGGCTGACAACTTGTAATATTCATATTAACGTCGTGCCACACTCAAGTATATATGAAGGTGGATATAAACAAAATGTAAACAATTGCCAATTTCAGGATAAGAGCTACCAGTATGTTTGAAACAGTGTTGCACAAGAGTGAAAAAAAATAAAAATGCATTATGGGTAATATGAACTTTGTTACTTGTGCAGACTGAACGGAGTCTATGGTGGGTATGAACTATGTGAATAGGCGGGTTCGGAGAACTGTCCAAATCTGTTTTGTATATCTTGAATGCAATAAGAATTTACTTACTGGATATGGTTAGTTCGCAGTGAGATTTCCAATTCTCGTACAATCTGTGTAGAGTGATCTATTAATTTTTTTCTCTGTCTCTACATTAGGGAGACAAAAAACATGATATTAACATAACCTGAATACTCTGTAGCACAACTCAAAACTAAAATGAATGTCAATTAGACCACTAAACTCAACACAAGTTTGAAGTTTACAAGTCTGAGGACAAAATATCACTAAACTCAATATAACTACAATTAGTAAAAGGTACATGTACTGATGCCTTACTGGCCAGGGATTGATAATTGTGCGTAGCTTAGTGAGTCTGAGGACAAAATTTCAACAGACTGACAACTCATTTCTTGTAATTTCAAGGCGTTCAACTACTGGGGATTCGTTGGTTGTATTAGGAAATAAAAAATTTGGGGTTAACAAAATTACCGAAAGGGGGCGATGAACAGCAAAACAGTTGTGCTAGGGTTTGGTGGGATGTGACTGTCAACAACACTCTAGACTACACAAGGAATGCGAGTCTTGGTATATAATTACCATATCAAGCACAAAAATTCAAAAAGACAGGTGAATGAGGTAACTATGCAAATACATTACATAATAGCAATGGGATATATACATGTACAGGGGTCGGTGCGAACACTACAGGATTACTCATCTATGGGCAGGAGAGTTTGTTGTGTGAAATGATACAATCATGTTTAAGAAGCAATACATGTAGAACACATGCCTCTATGTCAATGTTAATTAGAAATAATACTCCATAAAATGTAATAATTTCTATTATTAATTATACATCTGTCACTGTAACGACATAAGTTACCTCAAGCCATAATTATTTTGCAGCGTTGCACTGGGTATTTTCCTCCTACCATATTAGGAAATGTGAATTTCAAATAAGGAACGATTATGCTCATAAGCGTCCTCTGATAATACAACAAACACGACAGCCGCCAGCGCAAAGTTTGACCGGACCCTACACAAAGAAGTTTGCTAAATCTGTTTCAAACTTTTCAGATTTCAACATTCCCATGATGTATCCTTGGGAGAAAAAGATGTATAAAAAAAAGGATACCTCATAGTATGCACTCAGACAGTATGCAATCACATCGACCTCTGCTGTACATGCGTCAGCCGATACTTCCACTGTACTGTCTTTGTGAATACTTGATGGTATCCTTGTAATAACCTCATAGTATATAATTTATTTGATTTACAGATGAAAATATGAGTTATCAGATTATAACGGTAATTTGATGTGTCATCTCCATGTACAGCACCAAATCTATAATTGCTTGCATTCTGTCAATACATTCAACTCAATCATTGCTAAATTATTTAATTTTTTCAACTGTCAGTAACTTTCTTTGATGACTGAATTTTAAAAGAGTAAGATCTTTTTGTGAACAAAAATTGACAATGGCAGAGATGCACTCTTCATCTGTAGTCTGTAATAGACAAAACTTTAGCAATATGTATATAAAATAAGTCAACGTTATGTCAGCAACGGATAAGGAGTCTGAGTCTAAAAGCTGGATAACATTACTACATGCAAATCAAAGACAAGAGAGTACAAAATATATTGATTTATCATACATTATGAGTATTTACAATTCTACTGTTGTGTCCATCATGCAATTACTGATGACAACAATCCCTAAGGTTGCCTATATATGGACAAGTGTCTAGAGATGTGATTGTATTTTTTGTAATAATCGAGATGCAATGAAAGGAAATACTACCGGGGGTAATACCAATTATAGACATGTAATAGTGGATTTTAGTAGGTAGGAATACGGGTGATGGATTTGGGAGAAACAATCAGTAAAACAAACCAAGACAAATATGGGTGTAATCATTGAGTAGTTTGGTCTCAACTTTCTCACTGCAAAAGCTTGATTTCTACGGAACTTAGTAGAAAGGTTAGGTTACTCTAAATACCGTAAATAAAACTGCAATTAACTATGATGTGTTCTGTGTTCATTGCATCCATCAGAGTTTTACATTGTAAAATGATCCGTGTTTCAAAATAAGTTATTAGCCAGGAGATTATCCTGAGCTGAAATTGGAGGATTCATTTATTTTACACTACACTCCTACCACAAACAGGGAATAAAGAAAAGACACTAGAAACTTTGATGATAAGCCAGTTCTTGTGTTTGGTCATGGCCTGTCATGAAATGACAGGGGAGAATGAAAACCATTTGAGGGGCAAAAATGAGTCTTGTGCCCCTCTCACTCTCACCAAGATCGTGGCAGCCATTTATGAATAAGGTCAATCAGACTACGTTGAATTTAAACATTAAAGGCATTGAAAGGAAAGTCGTATCTTCAGATCATCATTGAACATTTTTGTTGAAACCCTAATTGATGACAAATTAAAAACTGTAAAAGCTGGCAATAAGCCTACATCAGTACATGTATGCTTTGTGTACACTCCTGGATATACAGGATCATAATAAGGGGCGTGACCATCTTTGAAAACAGTTGTATTAAAGATAAAGTGTGGAGGTAATTTTAGCAGCTTAACAGCAATGCAATGTACATAAATTTAGTCTCAAGATTTCAGCAAAAATATAATCCCATACTGTATTTTTCAAATAATATCTACTGTATACCAATATTCTGTGGATTGTTTGCCAATGATGCACCAATTGCGAAATATCCATTCTTTTTCAAGAGATAATTTGCTGACCAATTTATATATATCACAATTTATTTCCCTAAGATTTCCTGTTATAAGCAGTATTGGGGACTTTTAAGCCACATATCAGTGTTGACAAGCAGTAATGGTGTTTGATATCATGTCAACTGGGGAACTTTGACCTCTACTGCAATGATTCCCATATTTGTCTTGCTGTAGCACCATCACCAACAAGAGTCCTTGTTAGGTGACTTTATACTCTATTTTGCTGATATATAAACATAATACAGCACCATCACATCACCCTACCTTCTTGGCAAAATCTGCGAGATGGCCGCGATACGGATACTGATTGGAAAAGTATGATAGATGAAAAAGAAACATAATATATATAAAGTGGAAAACAAAACACAAAAAATGGAAATTAACAAGAAAGAACAGAAGATAAAAAAAGACACTGAATATAGCAATTACAGCACAATGCAGCCACATATTTTCAAAAAAGTAAGGATTGAATACATTTTGATGACTTTCTGGAAGAAGAACAGAAGACAGGAATGTCTGGTGCATAAAAATAGACTCAAGTATCAAGCCAAGGTAATACAGACTGTGAAACATGTAAGTAATGTTTGTAATGAGTGCAAAGAAATAATGATGATGCAACAAATACAACATCACGACATGAGGGAAAGGGGTTCACCCACATATTAAAGTAAACACCAAGTGCAAAAATTAGACATTTGTCATCCATTTTAACATTGATGTCTATGGTTATAATCAGTAATTTAATAATAAGCAAATATAAAACAATATATATATTGAAAAGGCAATGTGGATAACTTGAAGTATTTTGAGCAAGTTTATTTAATTCTATACAATATTTGATCCTGGTAGGAACAAGAAGAATAATTTTATTCATTCAAAGAAATAATAAAAACACAAATGCGAACGTTTTTGAATTTTGTGGTTGGGTTCAGTCGGCCACATTCCAACATGAGATATGACTTCAATGGAACAACATGAACTTGACAATTTGTGAATCACTTGTGAATCACTTGTGAATCACTTGTTTAACGTAACTTGATTTATTGCTGATCGAAACTCTTCAAACGAATTTACAAGAATTGTAGAATGTTATAAAAGCATAAAAGTTGCATAACTGGATGAAAACTAACCCACACAATTGAACATGGACTACACTAGAACAGAACTACGATTAAATTTGTTAAAAGGGAAAATGGAATATTAAGGCGTTTTCCACGCAGACGGAGGTCAACCAATCAGTGACTGCGTACTAAACTAATCATGGAATATCAGCCAGAAAGGAAGGAGAGAATGTTTTAGATAGATTTCTATACAAACTGGAGCAGAATAATTAAGTATAACATCTATAAACACAGAACTCAAAATTACCCCGGTACTCATTAAATTGGAAAAAAAATCACATAGATCGCTAAATATATAGAAACTAGTTACATAAAAAACACACATAAAGCATATTATGGTTTCAACGATAAATTTATCAATTAGAATATACTGACGGGTATAATTCGAAGTGCACTAGTAATTTCATTTCTGCTTTGAACAAAAAAACAATGCACCGTATGTTTACTATTAAAACAATATTTTAATTTTTGATGATAAATCACATCACAATATGAAAGATGCATTTTCATACAAAATTATTTATTAATAAACATGTTCAGTTATTGATATTGCCTCTTAAAAAAAGTATTTATTAAAAAGTACAGCTTCATGAGCAGTGGATTCCCTCTGAAACATGAAACATATACTTGTGTTTACCAGTACAACCAGATGATGTCGTGCTATTAAAAACAACAACAGGAATCCTAGAATGGGCCTCTAACCTTCTGAACTCACATAACCCAATGGCATCTTAAAAGTATCTAATAAATGGGTCGTAAATACAGTGCAGCAGTCTGGGAGATTTGTTGTATATAGTTCACATTCCGACAGAATCAGGAGGTTTGAATGTCTTCCAATGTGGTAACCATAGATCATATTATCTTGAGAGTTGGATGTACATTGTAGATTTGTTTGAATGTCACATGTATACCTAAACACTGTAAATCAATACTGTTTAAAACTTGTGTTCGCGCTTTGTATCATTTGCAGAGCACCTCCAACTGATAATGTTATTATCATGGAAAATTTAAAAAAATCAGTTGTTTTGAAAACCAATGCCGAAATATCGATTATTGAAGTCAGTCTGCATGTGAAGGTGTCTAATCCAACATATTTAAATTGTTGTACTCACTGAAAGCCAATTTATTTTATTTATAGAGGGCTTCTAAATTAGATTCTGTTGGATAACATATTTCTGATGAACCATACACAATCTAAAACTCTTTGTATGGATCAGTGGGATATTTTCTACAGTTCATACAAAGTGAGAATGCAACTTTGAAATCATACTGCTAAACATTCAGATTGAATATCTACATGTATTAAATAATCAATAGCTATTATTAACCCATGTAACTGTAAGAAAGTTTTAGATTGTCTATTTATTGAACATTGGAGCTATACCCATAATTTTAGGACACTGTTAATTTACTGGCTTCGATGGAATAGCGATGACAAGTGAACCAGATTATACCTCACCTAATTTATGCTTGATAATAGCATCGAAAGAAAATCAATTTCAGGCAATTTTCTGTGCAAACAATGTAACAAATTATGTTTCTTAAGACAGTATTGGTAGTACAGTACACAACCTCTTTATAAGCACTATGTATAATGCACAGGGAACAGCTTACTGAAATAAGAATGAAGTGGTAAGTGGCAAACAAACATGGTTTTAAAGTGAACATTACCTTGGTTGTGCCAGCTGGATCTATAAGTTTTTTTATTTTGTCAATATAATACCCGGGAGTCTCTTTTGCAACTACCTTTTCCTATTGATAGAACAAAACAACAAGTTATTACTTGTACAACCCTACAAAAATAAATATTACATGCATCTTTAATGTAAACACAAGTTTACAAGTTGGAATT